TCATCTTGTCTAGATAGGTCTAGTGAAAGGAGATGGGGATAAGATTCTTATGATTCAATAGTGAATAATTGTTATCATGACTAATTGTGACTGTCATAACTGTAAAGGTAGAAGTTTTACAGCAAAAAGGGGGGAGTATTTAATCTTACATTCCAGAAACAGAGGACCCTAGGACCATCAACAGAAGTTAGCAGTTCATTACTTATCCTACAATGCTACACGAAGACTCCAAAGAAGTTGGTAGAATTCCTCAATTTCATCATCACTGATCTTAGTGGTTGGTGCATAAATTTGGGGAAAACAGTTGTATTATATGATCTTTCTTGTAGGCATATGGATTTTATCCTATCACAAACAGCATTGTACTTCAAGATATTTCCTTTTGATGATAAATGATATGCCATTCCTCATGAATTCATTGTCTCGGGCGTAGTAAATCATCTGATTGTCAGATTCACAATACCAGTCCATTTATGAGTTCCATTTCATTTTTGACAATTTCCAATTTTTCTAGATTCATACTTCATACACTCCACGTTCCGATTATTGATGAATGTTTAAAGCTGTTTCTCCCCCATTTTGAGTTGCGCCCTATCAGCAAATGAAGGTCCCGAAAGTTTCACTCCATTTGCGCCATCATGGTCAACTCTACTTTGAGGAGGCAGCTCTTCCCCAGTCGTGTTTTGAGTGCATTCCAACCTAAAGGGCTCCTCTTCCATCACTATATCTGATAATATTCTGGTGCTCTTCATAATATTTTCATGTCCCAGCACTATATTTGACAATGTTCTCTTGCTATCCATAAGGTTTTCAGTGGCTAAACATTCAGAAATAGTCCACCTCTCCTTCCTAGTCTATTGGTCTAGAAGCTCCATTGAAACCTACCTACCATGGGGGACCCTGTGGACATTCAAAATAATGGTGACATAGCTTCCAGCATCACAGCAACACACAAGTCACCGTAGTACAACAAACCAACACACAAGTGGTGGTACATACATGTTGTACTTGAGGAATTAACACAGAATGAACTCATCATCAGTCACTAGCTTCCTGATCAGTATATTTTATTTCAATGTACTGTTAGATTCACTTCTCCAGTTAAAATTATTCCTAATGTGATTTCAGGAAAGAAATGTAATATGCCATTTCCGTTTTATGTATCTTCCCTCTATCTCATTCACTATCTAGCATCAATCTTTTAATTTTTGTCAGTTTTGTAGCCGGAAATGATAGCATCTCACTGTTTCACTTTTTAATTTCATTGAGAACTAAGGGCTTTGAACATCTTTAACCAAATTTATTGGGGTTCGTTTGTTGTTGTTTTTTTCACTTTTGAATATTTTTTTTTTTCAGATTCTTGGATTGTGCACACTTTTTCTGTATGACTTGTACTTTAGGATATGGCGCTCTGGTGGTACAGTGGTTAATAACACAGAGGTCTCAGAAGTTCAAATCCACTGGTTACTCCAGGGGAGAGAGATGTAGCAGTCTGCGTCCATAAAGATGTATAGCTTTGGAAACCCTCTGGAGGCAGTTCTAATCTGTCCTGTTGGAATGGACTCGGCAGCCATGGGATTTACAGGGGCTAACTGTTCTCAAAATGATGACCAAGTATGGTCCAGCTGGTGTTCCCAACACTTTATGTGTATTAACTCATTTTAGCTTTATAATACACTATGAAGTAGACAGTGTTGTAGATCTACTTGACGGATGAGGTAATCGGGAGTGGAAGTAGCAGCATGTTGAGAGGCACTTGGCCAGGAGGGAGAGGAGCGAGCAGGCATTTAAATCCCAGCAGATTGGTTCTGATCCCTTTACTCCGCTGCCTTGTAGATAAAGGCAGGAAAATTCTGTTGAAACCTGGCCCCTTGTTTGGGCAACACTCACTAGTGGCTCCTAAGTCAGTCTTCAGAATCACGGGGGCTCAAAAGCTTAGTAACAGTTTGGAAACCACTGTTGTAACCCATCCGACGTACTGTGAGAATTTCTGGACTACATGAAGCTTAAGTTCTCCATTACACATACCCAGAGTTCTTTTCTTTCACGAACCTCCGTAACACAGCCATTTTGCCTTTACAGAATGGTTTTCTCTCTTCCCATCCCCAAATGGCACCCTTTCTCCCATTTTTCTCCAGAACCTCCATATGTGTGGAATTCTTTGCTAAACTTGCTGTTATTACTCTTAACAGCCCCAATTGAGGGAAAGTAGAGATAAAGAAACAGCTTTGGTAATAAATGGATAGAAGACCATGGTGTCCATGAATAACAGCGAGTTAACAGCGGAAGGAGTGGGAAATCAGAGAGTCATTTATTCAATAACGTGAGGGTCTACTAGCCAAAGCACCACAATATTCCAGATCCTGGAAAAGGCTGGTTGTCTTCTCTGATGTCAGTTTTGCTTTGTGTGTATAGTTGTTGTTGTTGTTGTCATTGTTGTTATGGGCCGTGGAGTCAGTTCCGACTCATAGCGACCCTGTACAGGGTTTCTGAGGCTGTCAATCTTTACGGGAGCAGAAAGCCTCATCTTTCTCCCACGGATCATCTGGTAGTTTCGAACTGCTGACCTTGAGGTTCAAAACCCGATTCGTAACCACTACGCTACCAGAGCTCCTTTGTGCGTGTGGTATGTGTCTGTAAATCTGTGTGAAAAGAAACACTAAGACATGAAAAGTTGAAGCATTGGTTGTAGCTATGTCCCAGTTGGGGTTTGAATTGGGTTTGGAGGACCCACGCTACAAAAGAGATCTGATAGATGTGCAAGAAGTTGGGGTTCTCAAGTTTACGTTAGTCTCATGATGGAAAACAGAGGTCATCACATATCTTCAGGTATCAGCATCAATGTCAAGTATAGCATTATTTTTGTAAGGAGTTCTAGCAACTTAGAGGAAATGTTAAGGGCTTTATTTTGAGAGCTAGCGTAAGACAGGTGTGGCCCTGCTATTTTGGCTTAGATCAAGGTGCAAAATACTTTTGATTCCACAGAACTAAGTGTGAGACAATGCTAAAAATGTTACATACACGATCTTACTTACTTCACAATATTTGGATATGTTGTTGTTGTTGTTGTTATGTGCTGTGGAGTCGGTTCTGACTCATAGCGACCCTGTACAGGGTTTCTGAGGCTGTAAATCTTTACGGGAGCAGAAAGCCTCATCTTTCTCCCTCGGAACAGCTGGTAGTTTGGAACTGCTGACCCTGAGGTTTGCAGCCCGATTCGTAACCCCTATGCTACCAGAGCTCCTTATAACATAATTGGGGCCATACAAATTTATTAACTTAAATTAGCCTGCTATATTTGGTCAAACATTTAACTAACTCACCCCTAATGTGATGGCAGGAATCCTAGAGTGGCGCGGTAGGATAAGCGCTCCACTGCAAGGTCGGTTTGAATAGCAAGGTCAGCGGTTCAAACTCACTAGCCACTCCTGGAAATCCTCTACAGGGTCCCTAGGAGTCCAGACGTTCCCCACCCCTGCTATGTCGTTTTTGGTAGGTGCTGCTGAGTCGATTCTGACTCATAGCGACCCTGCGTGGGATTTCCGAGGAATGGCTGGTGAGTTTGAGCCGACAACCTTGTGGTTCAAACCGACCTTGCAGACGAGCGCTTATCCTAAAGTGCCAATGGTGTGGATGGGCCGTGCGCTGTTGTCTGTCCCACCTATGTCTTCCAATAATGTTTTTATGCCAGTCCCTCCAATACATTTCATGAAAAAAATCGTGGTGTTTTTATCTGGAGGAGTAATGAATATCTGGAATCCTAATGTGGTGCGGTGGGTTAATGCGCTGGACTGCAAAGTCCATTTGAACCTCAAGGTCAGCGGTTCAAGTTCACCAGCCGCTCCACGGAAACCATATACAGGGTCGCTATGGGTCAGAACCGATTCGACGACACTTAACAGCAACAATGAACGTATAAGGAGACCGGTTGGCGCAATGGCAAAGCGCTCAGATGCTAAGTGGAAGTTTAGAGGTTCAAATCCAGAGCTGCTCCGTGAGCGAAACACCTGGCAATTTGTCCCCTAAAAGATTATTGTTAAACCCTGTCAGTCGGCTCCATCTCACAGCAACCCTGCGTAGGGTTTCCAAGGTCCGCCTGGTGGTTGAACCACTGACCTGTGGTTAGCAATGCAATGCTTACGCTACAACGCCATACTAGGACACCCCCCTAAAAGATTACAGCCCAGAAAACCCTCCAGGCAGTTCTACTGTGTCACGTGGAACTATTCCAGGGCATGCACCAACACCCCTCATTAAAGAGAGTACAGAGAAAGGAAGGAGTTCACAGCATCTGGGAAGTGGCGAGGCTAGACCATGACCTGGTTCCACGCCTTTGCTGTTGCCGTTGTTAAGTGCTGTTGAGTCGGTTCCGACCCATAGAAACCCTGTATAGAGTTTTCGAGGAGCAGCTGGTGGGCTTGAACCGCCGACCTTGCAGTCCAACGCACTAACCCGCAGCGCCACACTGAGCCTCCACTTGGTTTCCTCGCCGCTAGCGCCTCCGTGTGAGGGCGCCTCTTTCATTCTCCAGCAATTTACTGAGCAGCTAGCTGGCGAGTTCCAGCTCTCTCTCCCTACGAACCCTCCCTCCACACACTCCACGGGGCACTGTGGGATAGACGCACTTCTTTTGATAGTTGTTGTTTAGTGACGTCGAGTCTGTCCCGATCCATAGACACCCTGTATAGAGGTTTCCGAGGAGTGGATGGTGAGCCCACACAGTCGACCTTGCGGTTCAAATCCACTTCACAGTCCAGCGTATTATCCCAAGGAGCTGGAAACTACATAACCCAGAAGGCTGTGCGCCACACTGGTCCAATAATGGCCAAAGGAGAGAGGAGCGTTTCCGGCAACCACGTCGGCTGGGACGGGAATTCCGGCTTCTTCATCACAAACGCCATTTGCCTGTGGCTATTCGGTCCCCACCGGCCTAGAGCCCCTGAGCGCTTTACCAGTGTCGCTCCCCAGTCCCCTCATCAGGACTGATTCCTGTGTTCTAGTCGTGAGCTCCATAAAGGGCGCCTCCTCGGCGTCCGCCCAGACACGCGCTCTCGGGGCCCCCCCACACCACCCTTCATCCCCGAGGGCGGCGCCCGGGGCCTGGTTCGTCTTCCCTCAGGGAGACTGAGGCCGGGAGAGCGACACTGCCAAGCTCCCCCCGGTCCAGGCGGCGCGGGGTCGGGTTGGCGGGGCCCGGCCCGGACACCCCCAATCCAGGCCCTGCTCTCTTTCCGGGCCCCACGATGGCGGCGGCGGCGGCGCTGAGAGATCCGCCCCAGGTGAGCGCAGGAGGAGTGTTGGGGTGTAGCGCTCGGCTGCTAACCGGAAGGTCGGCGGTTCGAACCCACCATCCGCCCCGTAAGAGAACGATGAAGCAGTCTGCTTCTGCTCTGTGGGATCCGGTCGATCAGAGTCTCCCGACCATCGAACAGCAGGATAGTGGCTGGTACTCAGCCAGGGCTTGAAGAATGAATGGTGCCCCCGGTTCCGCAAGTCCGCCTTGTCCCCTGCCATCTTTTCTGCTGGCTGCTCTCTGGACACATCACCTGGACCCTGCTAGCTTCTCTTCCATTTCATCCTTTATCCTTTTCCACCCTACAAATCAAAAGGAGCTCTGGTAGCGTAGTAGTTATGAATCGGGCTGCGAATCTCAAGGTCAGCAGTTCGAAACTACCAGCTGCTCCGCGGGAGAAAGATGAGGCTTTCTGCTCCCGTGAAGATTTACAGCCTCGGAAACCCTGTACGGGGTCACTATGGGTAGGAACCCACTCCACGGCACATAACCACCACCCAATCAAAAGTCTCACATAATTATTAGTCTCTTAATGCAGAAACATAAAAACGAAGAAACCAGAGTTTCCCAATACATATTCAGTTGACCAGATCTTGGTGAAATCTTAAACTTGTAGTGGTAAAATGCAAGGAGTCCTGGTGGTGTAGTGGATTATGTATGAGCTAGATGTTTGAATCTGCCCATTGCTCTCAGGTGAAAAGTGAGGCCTTTTGATCAGGTAAAGATGTCTAGCCTGGGAAACTGTACCGGGTGGCTTTGAGTTGGAACTGACTTGGTAGCATGCAGCCACTGCAACCTCCCAGGTAGGAGGCTACTGACCCAGGAAAATACGTCGTGACCTAGCTTGCTTCTACAACGTCATCTCTTGGAGTTGAACCTGATTTCATTACCAGCTTCCATTCTCATCCATTAGGGAATGAGGAGTCTGTTTCTTAATGAGGAATCTCTGGATCGTCACAGTCTTATGAGAAGACAGCAAAGCTGGACTGTAGCAGGCCCTCAACACGATGGTGGCCATAGGAGAGTCATGCCGTATCCTTGCATTTGCTGCTACTTCCTGAGACACAGTCTCCAGATGTCTGGAGAGCACCTTCTGGCCTCTGTTGAGTTGTCACATATGTAGAGTGGCTTTTCCTGGCAATTTAGGCATAAGTAGCTCTTGCCTTATGTGTCTGGCATTTGTGTAGGGAATCACACAGTTATAGAAACCTAGTGGGTTGAAGGGTTTTTGTATGTTTTAACTCTTTATTGTGAAGGTTTATAGGCCAGTTCTCCGGTCAACACTTCATACACACTTTTGTTTCATGTCATTGGTTGGCAAACCCCACCATGCATTACCAGTTACCCACTTCCTCCCTGTGCGTCACACTTCCAGTGTTCCTTTTTTCCTAACCTTCCTGCCTTCTGAACGGTGTCCTTGGGTAAAGGGTACCCTTTTGATCTCATGGTTGGTTAATCTGAGGAGTACATACCTTCCTGGTATTATCATTCACTTTATCAAGCTGTTCGTTGTTTGGCTGAAAATTGAGTTCAGTTCCAGATCTGAAAGGTGTCTAAAGACCATAGTTTGGGGATTTGGGTTGAAGTTTTCCAGGATGTGGTAGCAAAAAGAAAAATGGATAGTCATAATAATATAACCATGAATGTTGGCCTTTGTTGAGTCTCTGTTGTAGACTATTGGGCAGTCATGTTTCACCTGATTTAATCCTCACCTCATCAGAGTTGAGAAGTAGGATTATCACTTGTTTTGTACAAGAGGCACTCGGGTAAGACAGGTTAAGTTACCTGCCCAAGATCACACAGCTGTACTTGTTGTTAGGTGCTATCAAGTTAGTTCTTATTCATAGCGACCTTATTATTGTTGTGAAGTGTCATGGAGTCGGTTCTGACCCATAGCGACCCCGTACAGGGTTTCCGAGGCTGTAAATCTTTACGGGAGCAGAAAGCCTCATCTTTCTCCCATGGAGCAGCTGGTAGTTTTGAACTGCTGACCTTGTGGTTCGCAGCCCGATTCGTAACCACTACGCTACCAGAGCGACCTTCGGTACAGACAAAACACTGCCCAGTCCTGCGTCATCCTCTCACAGTCATTATTAAGCTTGAGCCCATTGCTACTTCTGCTATTCCAGTTCACCTCATTGGGGGTCTTCCTCTTCCTCACTGGCTCTCCACTGTACCAAGCATAATGTCCTCCAGGGATTGGTCGTTCCTGATAATATGCCCATAGTACGAGAGACGAAGTCTTGCCATCCTGGCTCCTAAGAAATCCCAGAAGCTAGAGTCCAGTATGCCGGCCAGCAGAGCCTGTGCTTTCCTGCAACTCTACACATGGTAGGCTGGTGAACTGTGTAAGGCAGATGGTCATTTTCTAGCAGGTGACTTTGGACATTGGGATTTTGTTGTTGTTAAGTGCCTTTGGGTCGGTTCCAACTCATGGCAATCCTGTATAGTGTTTTTGAGGAGCAGCTGGTGAGTTTGAACTTGTGGTTCAAACCAACCTTGGAGTCCAGTGCTTACCGTACAGAATCACAAGGGAGGCAATAATTCAATGCAGAGGAAGCCTTGATGAGAGGAAGATGGCTGGGTGGGTTCATCCCAAAGCCTGCAGAGCTCTGGACAGGGTCTCAGAATTTCACAGCTGTGGTAGGGAAGGGGGAGCTCATTTGCATTGATCTCGAAGTCCAGGCTCAGAGAAGTGAAGTGAGGACCCCGAGGTAACACAGCAAGCTCGTGTGGAATTCTAGAGTTTGGAGTCAGACCACAGGAGTCTGGCTTCAGAGATGGAAGCGTGTCATTACTTAACAGGTAATGGAGGCCCAGGAGGTACAGCTGCTGCTCTTCTCATTGTTGTGGCTGCCCTCCGCAGGTGGTCACTGCCTTCTGCTACCCTCAGGGCTCCATGTGAAGGCGTCTTTCCTTTCACTGCTTGCTTCTGTCCAGAGCAGTGCCCCCTCCCTCACAGCACTGAGCTAGCCCTCAGGAGTCCCTCAGAGATCTGGGCGTCAATGAGTCTGCGCCATTACTGACAGGCAGGCAGGCTCTCATCTCATCCCACAACTTCCCATGGCGAACACCACTGCCTCTGTTTGACTCTTCAGGTATCTGTGACCTTTGAGGACGTGGCCGTGACCTTCACTCGGGAGGAGTGGGGGCAACTGGACCTGACCCAGAAGAGTCTGTACCAGGAGGTGATGCTGGAGAACTGTGGGCTTCTGGTCTCTCTGGGTAAGATCCCACCTCTCGTCTTCTGCGTGTGGGGACCCGGCTAGTCAGATGCTTTCTGGAGCCCACAGCCTCGGTCATTTTCCAGATTCATCTCTTTCTGTCAGGCTTCGCTCTGTGTCTTTTTGGACAAGAAACACCATTCCTCTTTAACTCACCTCCAGAGTCTTGCCAGTCATCTAGTGTCACACATCAGGCTCCTACAACTTTCAGGAGTGGTGGGGCTCTGGAGAGGAACCCACAATCAAAGGAACACAGTAGGCCACCATCTTTGAGCAGGGCACGGCTGTTTGTTTCCTGTTGAGTTCAGAATACCGAGGGCAACACATCAGCTTGCTGTGCAGTGCATGTGCCCTTGTTTCCGAAAGTTCTGGAACTAGTTTAAACTGATTGTTAAGCCCTGCCTGAAGGAAATGTATTGTCTCACCTAATGGGAAGCCGTGGGATGGGGCTGGCTCTTAGGTGGGTGAATGATAGCCCAGGCCTCTCTTTCTCTGCTTCCTCTCCTGGGTCCAGGGCCTCAAGTGGGTTCGCTGGCACATGTCACAGGTTGCTATGGGACAACAGCAGTGACAGGTCACCTTTTCAGACTTCCTGGAGTCTGAAGACCTTCACTTCACAGAGTGGTCACTACACACCTGCCTACCTCAGATGACTGATGATCGGGGTACAGTTTGAGAATCTAGGACACCTCCCTGGGTGCCCAAATCATCAGAGAAGTTAGACAATCTGGTTTCCAGGCCTCCACCGCAGAGCTCCAGCTTCAGGTGGTCTGTGAGTGAGAACCTGACAGCCCCAGGCCCTCTGATGCACCAACAGATTGAGAAGCCCCTGACTGGGATGAATTAGCCCCTTCTGGAAGGAGGGGCCATTTCCCTGAGTTCCGAGATCTGCCTAGACGGTATCTGATTGATCAGAGGAACAGCCAGCACTACTGCCCGCAGGCTTTGGGGCCCAGGGATGGTGTTTGTACTCTGGGTTCGTAGCTTCATGTCCCACAGCAGCATTCCGTTTGCTTGGATGGAAGCATCTCCGTCCCAGGTCTTATTCCCATCCGGAGACATTTGATTTCTTCTCACGAAAATCCCAATGTCCTCTCCCTTCTCCATGAACAGGGTATCCTGTGCCTGAACCTGAGGCGATCTACGAGCTTGAGCTCAGACAGGAAGTAAAGGCTGTGAAGAGAGCTCTGTCCCAGTGGACTTGTCCAGGTGAGTAATGGAGAGTCAGCCTAGCAGGGACCCTGGATCCTCTCAGGAATCTTCCTGTCATTACCTCTCTGGGGACGTGGGAGCCATGGTGCCCTCTGACCTGTGGGAGACCCACTCTCATCACCTCACTTGCCTGAGCGTGCTTTAGTGCCCTTTGCATGTGTTTCAGTTTTTGACAAATTGAAGTTTTGTGGCAGACCTGAGTCAAGCAAATCTATAAGCATTGTATTTCCGATAGCATGTGTTCACTTCCTGTCTCTGTCCTATTTTAAGAATTCTCACAATGTTACAAACTTTTTAAATGCTATTATATACTTAATAGATGACAGAATAGTATGAACATTAACTGTTACATGCACTATGAAGCCGTACATTTTGTGTGACTTGCTTTATTGGGGTGGTCTGGAACCGAACTCACAATGTCGCTGAGGTATGGTTGTATCTGGTGGTGGTGGTGGTTATGTGCTTTGGAGTCAGTTCTGACCCATAGTGACCCTGTATAGGGTTTCCAAGGATGCATATCGTTACAGGAACAGAAAGCCTCATCTTTCTACTGTGGGACGGCTGGAAGTTTTGAACTGCTGATCTTGAGACTAGTAGCCTGACTTGTAACCACTACCTATAAGCCAACATAGAAGGCTTGGACTCTGAACTATTAGGGCTTAAACTTTCTTAAAGCTTTGCCCCTCACGGCAACCCTGTATAGGATTTGCGAGGAGTGGCTAGTGAGTTTGAACCACCCGCCTTATGGTTCAAACCAACCTTGTAGTCCAGTGCTTATCCTACCACACCACACCAGGACTCCTGTCTCTGTGTCTAAGCTATTCCTTTGAAGATACCCTACTTTGTTGTTAACACTGTTGTGGAGGCCTGGTGTGGCGCTGTAGGATACATACTTGACCATAGGGCAGTTCGGACTCACCAGCCACTCCTTGGAAAGCCCATACAGAAGCGCTATGAGTTGACAGCACTTAACAACAACAAACATTGTGTCATTAATGTGGCAAAGAGAACCCTTTTCCAAAGGAGGTTGTATCCACAGGCCTAAGGGTTAGGATTTCCAACACATATTTTTGGGGGACAAAATTCAGTTTATAACAGTAACGTTTCTAAGAGTGGAAATATGGGATTATAGGCTATCTTGTTGTTAAGTGTAGTGAAGCTGGCTTCAACTCATAGCAACCCTATATAAGGTTTCTGAAGAGCGGCTGATGAGTTTGAACCCTCAGCCTTGCAGTTCAAACCGACTTTGCAATCCATTGCTTATCCAACAGTGCCACATCAGGATTGCTGTAGGCTATGAGGAGGTTCAATATTACAAGATAGTTCTCATTGTTCCCTAAAAGAATTAGACGCATTTAAATGTCACAAGGAAAATGCAAGAAACTCCATAGATCCATGGCCCACCCAGTACAGGATACTGTGGTGATGGTGTCGTTGTGTGCCGCTGAGTTGTTCTCGACTAATAGTGACCCTGAGTCCTGGTGTGGCGGGCGCTGTGGGTCAATGCGCTGGACTGCAAAGTCAGTTTGAACCACAAGGTCTGTAGTTCAAGCTCACCAGCTGCTCCTTGGAAAACCCTATACAGGGTCGCTGTGGGTTGGAACCGACTCGATAGCCCTTAACAACAACAACAAATAGGTTTTCCAGTTCAAACTCACCAGCTGCTCCTTGGAAAGCGTGCACAGCGTCGCTGTGATGAATCGGAACAGACTCTACAGCACCTGATAACAACTGCATAGGATTCCGAAGCTGTGAATCTTTACCGGAGCAGAAAGCCTCATCTTTTCCTTACTGATAACTGGTAGATTCGAACTACTGACCTTGCAAGTAGCAACCCAACTTGTCTAAGTTACCAGAGCCCCTTATATGATTGTGTTGTTGTTGTTAAGTGCCGTCAAGTCGGCTCTGACCCATAGCGACCCTGTGTAGGGTTTCTGTGGAGCAGCTGGTAAGCTTGAACCACCAACCTTGCAGTTCAAACCGACTTAGCAGTCCAGCGCCTTAACCCCAACGCCACACCAGGACTCCATATGATCCTGTAAGGGTCCTATATTTTTGATCGTCAAATTGGTACAAAATAGTATCGTTTATGGTCTTGATTTGTGAATCTCTCATTGTTGAGTAATTTGGGCACTTCCTATTTTGTGGACAATCTGTATCTTCTGTGAAATATTAGTTTGTAATCATTTTTATTAAGTTGTTTGCCCTTCAGATTTGTACAGTCCTGAGAATAATTTGTAATCTGTATTTGCCGCAAATGTATCTCCTTATTTGAACCTAATTGTTCACTCCCTTTAATATATATTCTGAATATTTTAGTGTAATATGATTTATAAATATTTATTATTAATGGTTTTATTACTTACTAAATAATCTTGGTTTACCCCAGTATCAAAATTATATTCTCATTTTATCTTATACTAAAAAGTGCTAAAATTTGATGTTTCACATTTAAGTCTTTATTGTTCTGAGTTTGAGTATGGTATGCAATAAATACTGCAATCTAATATGTGAGGCAGCTTTAAAAAGTTTGTGGAAAAATGCTGTTGTCTTTTCATGACATTTTTCCATGAACTTTTGGAAGCCCTCCCGTATTTCCCATGCGAGTAACTAAAATTTCTAACTCTATTTACTAAACAATCGACTCTTTTACCTCTGCTATGTAGAAGAGCTCCATGTCTGCGTGACCCTGTTACTGAGTTTGGTCTTGTTCATTGTCGTCAAGTTGTCTCGGCACTGTGCCAGGACCGCAGTGCCTTGACATGTAGTAGCTCATGATCTGTTACCTCATAGGGTAGATCCCCTTCTTATTCTATCTCAAGGAATATCATTGGCCCTTTCCTGGGCTATGAGTCCTGAAATCAGCTTATTAAGTTTCATGATGAAGCCAGTTGAGATTTTGCATGAAGTTGCATTGAATTCATATGTTGCTTTGACTGGATATGTCAGTATATTATTAATTTATACAGATCTTCTTTTCTGTCTTCACGTGAAGTGTTTTAAGCTTACTCATTTAGGTGATGCTTGTTTGGCTAGTCTGTTTGTATAGTTGTTCCTCAGACTATGAGACTCAACAGGTCCATTCAGATCCTGTTGACTTTGTACGCCATGCCCTGGCAGTGGACTTGGTCATCCCCACCATTACTCAGTGAGAACCTTGGGTGCAGGCTCTCCTCTGCCCTACCTGTGTCTCGCTTTCTCACTGTCTTGCAAGCCTGGCCATCCGTTGTGTTCTCTGATGACCATGCCTTCACATGCTCTGTCTCCTAAGACTGCAGCAGCCTTCCACTCCATTACGACTCATCACATGGGGGTCCTCCGTGGGAAATCTCTCCTGACCTCTTCCTGACTCCTGTTTGGGCTGCCTTAGGTATCCACTCCTTCCTAGTCTTCCTGTAGCACCGTAAGGTGTCCTCATCTAAGAAAACTCACCATACACAGTGTCATTTTTCCTTGGTCCTCCGTGTCATGTGTGAAATTACGAAGATGGTTCTACTCCGGACCCTCTGCCCCCCGTCCCAGACTCACCCTCTGGATTTCTTTCTAGAGATGTCAAGAATCCAAGGACCAGAGAAGAAAAATTGACAAACTTGGGTTTCAAGATGTGAAAACGCAACAGGCACAGAGGGACTATTTCCATCTTTATATTTTTACTGGAGTGGAGGTTTGGTTAGTTCAATGTTGTCTTTATTAATAGGCCCTTTCGTGTGTTTGATTTCTTTCAGCAGACAAAACAAGACTTGAGACCACAGAGCCAACCTCTCCTGAGCCAGTCTTGTATGAGAAAGCCTCAGTCCAGGGGCGACTAAAACAGAGACCCTCCTGGGATTCCCAAGTCGGACAAGACAGGAGTCAGGAGGGACCACCAGAAATGCAGGACCAACATTTGAGACCAGAGATAGACCCCCAAAAGGAGCAACTTTCTGATAAAATCAGCCCTGAGTTTTTGGAGACAGCTGAAGGAGAATGTTCAAGGATTCTACAGGAACGAGTCTCTCCAGGAGATTCCCTCCCTGACAGTGACTCACGTGGCCCTGGCTCACATGAAGACGACGTGGCTCACGACGAGAGACATCCCTACGTGTGCAAGGACTGCGGGAAAGTGTTCAACAAGAAGCGTCTCCTTGCTCAACACGAGCGCATTCACTCTGGAGTGAAGCCCTATGAATGCACAGAGTGTGGGAAATTCTTCCGAAAGAGCACATACCTCCTTCAGCACCACATGGTCCACACCGGGGAGAAGCCGTACGAGTGCAGAGACTGTGGGAAGGCCTTCAACCGCAGATCACACCTCACCCAGCACCAGCGGATCCACAGCGGGGAGAAACCTTACAAGTGCAGTGAGTGTGGGAAGGCCTTCACCCACCGCTCCACATTCGTCTTGCACAAAAGGAGCCACACTGGGGAGAAACCATTTGTTTGCAAAGAGTGTGGGAAAGCCTTTCGTGACCGGCCAGGTTTTATCCGGCACTACCTCATTCACAGTGGGGAGAACCCCTACGAGTGCTTTGAGTGTGGGAAGGTCTTCAAACACAGATCGTACCTCATGTGGCACCAGCAGGCTCACACTGGGGAGAAACCCTATGAATGCAGTGAGTGTGGGAAGGCCTTCTGTGAGAGTGCAGCCCTCATTCACCACTACATCATCCACACCGGGGAGAAGCCCTTTGAGTGCACAGAATGCGGGAAGGCCTTCAACCACCGGTCGTACCTCAAGAGGCACCAGCGGATTCATACTGGGGAGAAGCCCTACGTGTGCAGCGAATGTGGAAAGGCCTTCACCCACTGCTCCACTTACATCTTGCATAAAAGGGCCCACACTGGGGAAAAACCTTTCGAGTGTAAAGAGTGTGGAAAAGCCTTCAGCAGTCGAGCTGACCTCATTCGACACTACACTATCCATACTGGAGAAAAGCCCCATGAATGCATCGAGTGTGGGAAGGCTTTCAGCCGCAGATCTGGCCTCACGAGACACCAGCGAATTCACAGTGGCGAGAAGCCCTACGAGTGCATCGAATGTGGGAAAACTTTTTGCTGGAGCACGAATCTCATTCGGCACTCTATAATCCACACTCGAGAGAAGCCCTATGAATGCAATGACTGTGGGAAGGTCTTCTGTCGCAGCTCAGCCCTCACTCAGCACCAAAGGATTCATACGGAGAGAAGCCCTATCCGTGTGACCAATGTGGAAAGACCTTTCAACAGCGGCCAAACGTCAGTCAACATCCAAGAACTCCTTCTGGCCAAAGACTTTTTGAATGTATCCACTGAGAAAGATCTTTGGACAGAGGGATCATCTTACTCAGCATCTGATGGTTCACATCAAAGGGAAAGCTCACAGGTGTCATCCCTGCGAAATGATGCTCTGTGACACGTCATCCCTTATAAGCTAAAGAGTCATATTAGAACTTGACCTACCTAGCCCCTACATCTAAGAATTCACCCCTGCAGAGAGGCCCAGTGGTTGTTGTTTAACCACATCTTTCTCCTTAATTAGACTGCAGAGTCATCTCAGGAATATTTTTTTAAAAGAAGGAGGAGATGTAGAAGAGAATATTAGAAAAACAAAGGAAATGGCGTCTTTCAGATTCTTTGCCAAGCTTATGACAGTTTGTGATTACTTCCTTATTTGTGGAGATACAAGTGTTGTTTCAGGATAAAGGGCCTCGCTCCTTTGTTTCTTGTGTGTACATTGACTTTTGCGTAGTGTCGGAAGACCTTAACCAGTTGAGGGCAGGGCCGGAAGCTTTGAAAGCTATGTTTGTTCTACAGTATTGTCTGTATTCTTCAGGAGCCAAATTCTATGAGAAATATGTAGGCTTGATCATGAAATACTTTTATACTTAAGGAGACAAGGACACAAATGGATGGGCATGTTTTATTGCTCATTTCGGACTGGTTTTAGCGTGAAAAACAAACCTTTTGTTGTGGTTTTAAAACAACTGAAACAGTTTTATTTTTTCTTGATCCTGATCTTTTTTTATTTTATTTTATTTTATTGCTGTTACTATATTGTAAATCTTACAGTTGAATAAAATGATTCCTCTCTCATACTTAAAATTTATTTTAGCATTCTCAGTTCCTTTGGCTTTCTCACAGATTTCCACCCCACTGTTTCAGCTCCATCCCACAACTTCGCATAAGTTTTCAGTACATTTTTATTCTATTCTAAATACTTTACAATTCTTTTGAGACTTTCTCTGTTGCTCATGAATTCTTTAGAAGAATATATTTTAATTTCTTAAGAGTTTGTAATATTTTCTGGTATGTTTTTATTAGTGATTTCTAGTTTCCTATTTGGACTGAACACGTGCTCTGTGTGATTTCAAACATTTAGTTCTTGTCTAAGTAGTTTTGTGACCCAGGAAGTAGTTAACTCCTGTTGAATGTTCCCTGGGTGCTTGATGAAAATGTATATCCTGCTGTTGTTAGCTTGGGTTTTCTATAAATGTCTACGAAATCCTGTTGATTGGTTTGTCATTCAAATTTTCTTTATCTTTGTTGATTTTCTACCTAGCATTTCTATCAATTTCTGAAAGGGTGAGGAAGTCCCACCTATAACTGTGGAATGATCTATTCCTCCTTTAAGTTCTATCAGGTTTTGCTTCAACGATCCCTTGTATGGTACATACATATTTAGGATTGCTAGATAATGTATTTATGTGTGCCCTTGTATCATTATGTAATGCTCTTCTTTATGCCTGTTAATTTCCTTGGCTCGGAAGTGTAATATATATGATATTAATGTAACCACTTCAACATTTTATGATTAATACTTCCATGGACTATCTTTTTCCGTCACTGTATTTTTAATATATTTGAAATTAATTTCTTGTGAAAAGCATTCAGTGAATGCTCTTTTATCCATCCTGCCGATTTCTGTCTTCTAACTGTTGTATTTAAACTGTTCCCATTTAAAGTAATTATTGTTATGTTAAGGCATAGTCTGTCATTTGGTTATTCTCAGATTTGTTTTTCTTCTATTGTTTTGTTATTTTTGTATTTTTGGTTTGTAGTTTTTTACTTTCTTTGTTCCTTCAACCTTTTTTTTAAATAATTCTAGCTCAGTGTATTTACAATCTGAATATATTTCCTTGTATAGTTTGTTTTTGTTTAAGTGACCTTGGTATTTTAATGTATATATGTAACTTATACAGAGTCTGGTGTGGCCCTGTGGGTTAATGCGCCGGACTGCAAAGCTGTTTGAACGGCAAGGTTGGCGGTTCAAGCTCACCAGCTGCTCCTCGGAAACCCTACACAGGGTCACTATGGCTCAGAACCGACTCGATGGCACTTAACAACAACAACAAATGTAACTTATAGTTTATTGTAACACATTTGAGCACTTTGATAAGTAGAAACCTCACTTCTGTTCGGTCCCTCTCACACTTCAGTCTTTAATATAATTTTCTTAAGTGTTTCTTGATCAACATATTGCATGATGTAATTTTAGCTTCAGCTGGCCAACAATTGTTTAAATCCGTGAGGAGAATAATCTGCCTTTTCCTTTACCTAGTCCATGGCTCTTCCTCCCTGAAACCTAATGCTTTCGAACATTTCCTTTCTGTCCGGAGATCTTCCTCTAGCCCGCCTTCTGTCGTGTGTCTGCTTGTGACAAACTTCCTTTGTTTTACTTAATATAAAACTGCCTTTTATTTTCCCTTCGTTCCTGAGGGATATTTCTGTGGGCTATGGGATTTGGAGTTGGCAGTTCTTCGTTGTTGTTGTTAAGTGCTGTTCAATGGGTTCCCATTCGTTGCTCCCTGTATAGGTTTCCAGGAGAGATGGGTGGGTTGGAACCACCGACTTTGCAGTTCAAATCAACCTTTTGGTCAGTGTGTCTCCTAGAGTAGTTCTCTAAGTACCTGAGGATCATTCTGCTACTGTCTTCTGATGCTTTCAGATTATAATCTTCGGCCATTTGAACCATTGCCCCCTTATATACCAAACATAATTTTGCAATCTAGCTGCTTCCAAAACATATTCAAAATGTTATTATAATGTGTCTTGGCTTGTAATTCTTTTGTGATATAATTTATCCTGTTTGGAGTTTGTTTAGGCCTTTGGATCTGTAGGTGTGTTCCATTTGTTAAACGTAAAGCATTTTCAGCTATTCCTTAGTCAGATATTTCTTCAGCCTCGCAATCTTTTTCCTTCCTTTCTGGGACTCTGACAGCACAAATATTCGGCCTTCTATTATTTCCCCACAGGTCCCTGAGACTCTGATGCCCCCAGTCTGGTTTCTCTCTATTGCTCAGTAAATACTTTCTATTGATGGTTCTTTTCTCTATCATCTCTAATCTCCTATCGAGGTTGTCTAATGAGTTTCATTTTGGGTTTTGTATTTTTAGTCGTATAATTTTAATTTGTTTCTTTGTTGAGTTTGCAATGCCATAGAAGGACTCAGGAATACAAAACTATGTAGTCTAGTCCTAGTACTTTGGTGATTTGTGTTAATATTGGAGTAGAATTCCCAAGGTATCTGGAGGAATTAGAAGCCGAAGTCTTCTACACAGGGCACCACAAATATTTATAAAGTTAGAACTTACAACGTAGGGAGATCTGCACCTCGCTGTATGTTGTGTTCTCCAGGAATGGTTTATATTATGGAATTTTACAGCTCTGCATATTGGTTAAGTAGGTCTGGTGGCATAGTAGGTTATACATTGGGCTGCTAACTACAAGTTCAGCAGTTCAAATCTACCGACCTCTCCTTTGGAGAAAGATAAGGCTTTTTACTCCCATAAAGATTTACAGTCTTGGAAACATTGTACAGGGTCAGAACCGACTCAACAGTACACTATCACTACTACATAGGTGGTGTTGAGCCTCAAAGGAGAAGACGTCCTTTCTCTTCCAGGGTCGCTCTTTCCCTCTTTAGTTGACCACATACCGTCCTGTCTTGTTTAAGACTTCTCAATTTCTTTTAAGCCCCAATTGTCTGGTCTTTAGCGTCTCCCTCTTGACTGACTCTCTCCTTATCATCTAGAGTTGTATGCACGCCTCCAGTCTCAGTTGCAGCCTCTTTTTACCCTGCTGGTCCTGCGAGCTCTGCCTTTCATTCTCTTACAGATGTGATTTGTGAATATGTTGTATAAAGCATGTGTTTCCTCTTCCTCTGTTCCCTCTCACTCCACAGATGACCAGAGTATCTTCTCCCACCATCACCTGGCCTGGGCAGGTCTTAGGTCTTTTGGGCCCTTCAGTGCCTTGTGGGTTCTATGTAGTGACCTGAAGCCTCCTGTGGTTTCCTACTCTTCTTCTTCAAGGCTCTGTGTCTTCCTCCCCAGGGCCCATCTCTGGCCACTGCTTATCTCACTGTGACTTCATTCCCTCTTAGAATTTTATTGTCATTAGTCTTCTGAGGCCCTCCAAATATATGTCCCCAGGCTGAGTAGGTCTCATGGCAGCTACCCTTCCTGTATTCATGCACACTGATGCATAGATGTGCCATTTGGCCATGTTCATGACTGCAGATACACCCATGGTAAGCTAAAGAGCAAACAAAAATACAGTATCACTGTGTAGTAACCATTGGTTTAAATGTTTTGTGTAGGTTTTCACAATAACTATGCAGTACGTACATTATTTCCATTTTACCCATCAGAAAACCGAGACACACAGACTTTAAGGACTGTGTCCAACAGTGAATGTTCATTAAACGTGGAAGTAGGGACTGGCGTCCCGTCTGACTCCAGAACCCATATCCTAAACCGTTTTACTATGTCACCTCTCACAGAGTGGGTCTTTGTTTCCTTAGTAACCCCCTTTCCCAAAATTGGATCATGCGATATACATTTCCTCCTCATTTTCATTTAAGGAGTCCTGGTGGCACTGTGGTTAAAGCACTCGGCTGCTAAGTCTAAGGTCCAACTGCTAACTGAAAGGTTTGAACACACCAGCCACTTCCTGGGAAAAAGATGTGGCAGTCTTCTGTAAAGATTCCGGCCTTGGAAACCCTGTGGGACCGTTTGCTCTGGCCTATAGGGTGCCTTTGAGTCAGAATTAAATTGATGGCAGCAGATTTGCTTTCATTTTGGTGTATCTCATTTAACAGTGTATCTTGACCTTCCTGTAGGTTGATGAGAAATACACCAAGCTTATTCTTTTTACTGGCTGCATAATATTCTGCGTATCTTTGTAGAAAATAAAAAGGAATATGTAAATTTGAGGAAAGAAAGTAAAGAATGACTAAGACCTGAGTTTGGTTTTAGATGTGTCTGAAGTGCCTAAAAAGCATCTCTGCATTCCACTACCTCTGCCTTGATGTGAAGCCAGGCATTTCACAGCTACGTCTCCTTTCTGTTCATCATCCCCACGTTCAATCGCTGCCCAGTTTCATGCGTTCTACATTTTTTTCCTTAATGGACG